CAACAGGGCGCCCAACCGGGTCGCTCCCGCCCCACACCGAAGCGAGAACAGTCACCGCAGCAAGGACCGATAGCACACCGATCCTGGCGCCAGTACGCAGCCGCCCAAAGGACCGCGCACACGAGGAACAACCTTGGAAGCTTCTTGCCGCGGCCCTGGACGCGGACCCGCAAGCAAAGCACGGGTCATGGTCAACCGAAGCAACGGCGACCCCACAATCCGCACATGCCTGCGGAGACGGCTCTGACTCGAACACCGTCTCAATCGCGCCACAACCACAAGCCGCAGTGCTGACGAGGCCGGAACGCACTTCCGCAACAACCTCGCCGGCTGGAGAGAGTGATCACACTCTTGGGCTGCAAGCAAAACAAACCCTTTACCCTCTCCTGTGGGCCAGAGACCTGGCACAGCCTCAACCCCACACTCAACCGGAAGCACAACCTCGGACAGGGATCCCTCTGCGGAGACTCCTGACTCCCGCACGACTGGCACCAGCACCCCATCACCTGGCGAGAGCTCGAGCGGCTCTTCCCCGTCATAGCGGAGAAGCTCACGACTTCCGCCCCCAGGCTCGGTGCATGACGCGTCGTCCAGGCTTGACAACCGCGCTTCAAAGGCATAGGCCCTGTCCTTCCGAGTCCTACTGTGATCCTCACATCTGGGCATCCTGATTCCCAGCGTGTCGAGGACATGAAAGTCGGGACCCGGCCTGAATCCCAAGCCCATCCTTCCGGCGCAGTCCAGCGCTCTGCCGCCAAGGATAAGTCCGTGCCAATCGGACGTGCCTCTGGCTGCGATTTTACACCGCACAAAAATCTCGGTGTTGGGGCGACAATCGTCCGCCGTCTTGCCTTCCAGCAGCGTGACGCGCAAGACTGCTGCCCCTTTCAAAGGAACTGGGGCCCCCGATGCGATTCCATGCACATATTCGGGGTGGACCCACTTCTCAAGTCTCACGACCGGAAAGCCAGGATCCTCAGTGCCGATCCCAAGCTCTGCAGCCCGGTTCATCATGCCTACCACGAGTTCCTCAGTCACGTGGTTTGCGCCGGCGCAACCGTCAAGCATGCACTCGACTTTGCGGTCGAGGACCTGGACCACCGTTCTGTACTGGTAGCCTCCTGGCTCGTTGTCCGCCAGGTTCCACCAGTCCTTCGGTAGATCGTCCAAGGTGGCGAACTTGTCCCGCCCGCCCTTGCTTAACGGAAGCGCGTGCTGCTGCACCGCGGCGTGTCCTGCGGCTCCTAGGACGCCTGCCTGGACGCCTGAGCTGCCTATCTGGACACTGAACGCGGCGAAGGGGTTAGACATGGAAGCGCCGGAGGGCGGGGCCCAGTTGGCAGGCAAGGCCGGCGTCCCTCCTGAGGTCGTCAGGTTGTGGACCATGTCGCAGTTGGCTCCTTTCTTGCACGACCCATTCTTGGAGAAAAAGGGGCAAACAGTGCCTGGTGGCTTTGCCGCGCCTTTGGCCGCAGCCTTAGGCTTTGCGTTGGCTTTTGCTTTGCCACCTCCCTTCCCTTTGCCTTTACCTTTCGCAGTGGCAAAGGTTTGGTCACCCTTCTTGGCCGCGAGAGCTTTTCTGCGAAGCTCCTTGTCGTGGCTGTACGGGCAGGCATCCCCTTTCGGGCAATTCCCATGATCGCGAAAGTGGAAGCAGATCTTCTTGTCCGCTCCTTTGCCAGCTCCCTTCGACGTAGCAGCATACGTCTGGTCCGCGCCAGCTTTGGCCGCGGCAGCTGCTCCTTTCGCAGCAGCCTTCGCAGCGGCCTTGAGACTCTTAATCTCCTTCTGAGCCTCAGCCAGCGCGACCGCCGGGTCCGCGCTCTGCGAACCGGTGGCCGTGTACACAGAGTGGGAAACAGCCCTGTGCGCTGCTTCTCTCTGCTCGTACTCCAGAACGACTTTGTGGCTCTCCTCCCAAGTCTGCGGTCCTCGCAACCCGCCATCCTTGGGGTCGCCAGGCCACAACCTTTTGTCGTTCCGGATCTCCTTTTGGAGATCATCTTGCGGAGGTATGAGAGATACAACTCTCGAGGGGTCTTCCCGAGACCTACTGCCTCAAGGTCCGCGATCGAGGCCTCAAACAAAGGCTCGAATTGGTGGCCTGTGAGCTTACCCTTAGCGAGAGAGGCGTGCTCACCATCCACGCGGACTTCTCTTTCCTCCCGCGATTCCCCGAACATCAAGTGTTTGTTCTTGATGCGGTCATACACCGCCTGTGGATCTGAGAGAACCTCTCCCGATTTCCACGCTGCGCGGTACGCGTTCGTGTACGTCTTCATGCGCGAGCCGCGGCAGCGCCCGCGTAGCGCTAACAGCTTTTCGCGCGCACTCATACCGCGACAGTTGTTGGCCAGCGCGCAGACGTCCTCGAACTCCTCGTAGAACAGGACAACGTCTCGCGCGTCCGACTTGTCGTCGGTCAGCGTCGGCCACGTGAGGTCAGTTTTGACCGTAGTTATGGAGCTTTGCCCGCCCCTCTGCGCTAACGCTTCTTTCAGCGCCTCAGTTTGGGCGGCGAGTGCGGCGGCGAGATCGCCCGCCGGGTGTTGGGACCCGGTCTGCGAACCTCCGCCGTCTGAACCTCGCTTCAGGGCTTCTATCTCCATCTCTAGCGCAGCAAGCTTCGCGCGCAAAGGGGAATCGCCGTCCGTCGCGCCCAGGACACGGGCCGCGGAAGGACCACCTGCAACCTCAGCAGTGTGCAAACCTCCACGGTCCAATCCTACCCCCAACCCACTTGCAGTCGCAGGCTGTGGGAGCCCTGGGGAACGCGGCCCCACGGCTTCAACTGGCACATCGGACGGGGAGCTCCAAACCTTCTCTTGGCTCGAGCTTTCTTTTCCCCCTAACGCGAGGATAAGCTCCCCGATGCATTGGATTTCGCGCTGAATCTCCTCTGCGTCTTCGGGGTCCTCGCCACCGCGCAAAGCCGCGACCGAGAACCTGGTCCGCAGCCGACGGACCATCTTCGTAGGATGCCAGTCCCCGCCTATCTTGGAGAACTCATCCGCAAGGAGGGTGGCTTTGGTGCTTAAGGCGTCAAGGTCACGGGAGCTCACCGTGACTCCATGCGCTTTCAGCGCGAGGACAATCCGCGAAACGCGCGTCAAGTAGTCCGCGACCGGTTCTTGGTCTGGACGGAAAATCGCGCGCAGCTCCGCCTGCAAGCCCTCTGCGGTGCCTGGCACTGAACCTGCTGTCGACGGCGGACCGGACGGTCCCGCCGGGCGGGACCCTGGTGCCGTAGCAGGGACATAGGCAGCACCGGTAGGGACCATGGCCAGCTCCCTAGCCGCGGCGCTGACGTCCACCCGCGGCGGACTGTCGCCTCCAGCGCCCGAGGCCTCAGGGACTAGCTCGGAGTCCTCTTCTTCTTCCTCTTCATCCTCGTCCTCCTCTTCGGCGTCATGGAGGAACTTCATGACTTTCCGCCAGAGAGCCGCCTCTTGCTCTGGCGTAGTGCTGACCCCATCCCGCTTGGACAATGGACGGCTGCCAGTCTCCCTACGCCACTTAAGCCAAGCGACGTAGCTCATCCGCTCGGGATAGGGAACGTCTCCACCCTCGATAGCTTCGAGGAGGGTGACGCCCTCAGCCTGACCTGCAACCTCTGCGGACATTGCCGCAACACAAGGCGAAAAGCCGCGCCTTGGTTAGCAGGCCGCAGGCGTGGCACGCGAAGCGCCGCGCCTTGGTTAACAGGCCGCAAGCGTGGCACACAGTCCACGCGTCCAGGTCACGGACCGCGACAGACAAGCAAAGCAATGCTTGCCCACTCGGGCCGTAGGCACAAGAGCTGTACGTTTCCCAGAACAGCCCCCAATTGTGAAGTCGACCAGCACTGGACTTGCACTAAGCCAATGCAATCACAGCCCGGTCACGCTGTTTTACGACTTCGTGAGTCCAAGCACTTGTGCAGCTACGCCTGAGTGCGTCCGGTCGGACCGCACAGCAACCTAGGAGCTACTGTACGACTCTACCGTGCTCAAAGGCACAAGCTCGGTACTTGAGCCAAAATATTGGCATTGTTACGAATTGCAAAACTCTACATGCAAAGGAAAACTACAAGGTGGTCTGCCGAGTCCTAATGCATCACAGAGCAGAAGATGCATATGCACTCATGTCAGCTCACAATATATATATGTATATGTATATATGTATATATGTATATATGTATATATGTATATATGTATATATGTACATATGTATATATGTATATATGTATATATGTATATATGTGTATATGTATATATGTATATATTTATATATGTATATATATGTGTATATATATATGTATATATATATATATATATGTGTATATATAGATATATGTGTATATATATATGTATATATATATGTACATATATATATGTATATATATATATATATGTATATATGTATATATATATATATACATATATGTATATACGTACGAACATTATCTTACGCGAAGATACCGCACAATCCCAGATCCCACAACTTCTCCCTTCCTTCAGAAGGTCGATCTCCTTGGGATGCCCGGGTTTCCTTGCGAGGCTTTGAAGTCTGCAGCAAATTTGACTCTTGGAGGGCGTTTGCTAGGCTCTCAAAGTTGCGTTCGGTACATCTGTGTTTCGGCTGTACTTGTCTTTCAAGGCACTCTTGGTGGTCGGTGGGTTGGGTACTTGTGGTGCACGACTAGAAATGCACGCAGAGTTGCCGCAGATTTGCTGGTTGGCTGCTGGTCTTCATTAAGTCATGCATGGCTTAGGGTCTGTTAAGCGAAATGCTTCATCCAGCTGGATGGCTCGTGTTTGCGCAGGACGTAGATTCCTGTGCAGGCTCATGCAAGCCCCAGATCTGAGAACTTCAGCCGCAATGATTTGAAACATGAAAGAAGCCTGGCACTTTCCACATCGGAGAGTGTCTTACAAGTTGGATGCAATTTCGGGTGGACAAAGAAATGAGTTCCGGGCGGCCGATGTTCTTCGAGATGATTCCCAACAGGGCTGCAGGGCTTAAGGCAAACTGTGTGCATGGGCTTTGTATCTGAAAGCGGGCGTCCCTCCAAAACCCGAGCGACGCAGCAGCTGGCGAATGTTGTCAGACCGCACAAAGCCACTGACAAACTGGATTCCTGATCAGCACGGGGCCACAAGCCAAAAGTATTGCGGAGCAATCCCAAGCCGCACGTAGTCAAAGAAAGCCTACTACAGTTACTACAGTCGAATCTCCCATGTGCTGTGTCCCTGGACTTCTGCACGAATACTGCAACACGCAACGGCCATCAAGCGGTTGTGGTTTCTCATCGCTCACTCTGTTACAGTATCTTGCCTCTGCTAGTTGTTGTAGCGAAGGCAGGCTACAATGCCCAACGTGTTCCACAGGCAGCAGGTCCGGGACAGTCCAAGAGGTTTTCCAAGAGTGTTCCTTCCATTCGATTTCAGAATTTTCTGCGCTGCGTAGCTTTGGGCCTGCCCGGATTATCCTTGTACGTGCTTCTCATCTTTGTCATTTATCTTTGCAGCGCCTTATTCTGTGGTCCCCCCAAAGACGCTGCGAATGCCTCTTGGTGGAGGTGGCAGCTCCTTTGGCGGGCCCATCGGGTCCACAAACAGGCCTAGGATGCGCGAAGAATGAGACTTGAGAAGGTCCAACATCTGCACATCTTGTCAGTGCTATGAGCTGAACCTTACCACGTCAGACCATGTCAGGCTTGTATCTTGGACACTTCCCCATCTGCAAAGTCACCCTGCCCCAACCTGGTTTTGTGAGCTGAGGGGCCCGTGGCGTTCCGCTGCAGCGCAACGGCCCACAGCGGATCGACCCAGCTACCGGCGCCGAAGTTCACGATGCGCCCGCTGCGATCAGGCAGCCTAGGCTGCTAAAAAGGGATTCATTGTGTTAAGGATTCTCTATAGACGTGGTCACAGATATTCATAGATGAATGGTGGGCTCGACGACCATCACATTCAGTGCTCGAGGCTGAGGATCCCCATGATGTCCCAAATATCCCTGATATCCCGACACTGGGCCTTCTGAGTGGAAGACTTGAAGAAGCATAGAACAGGTTCTGACATGTCCTGAGCCGCGAATCCCACAGGCGGACTGTGGCTTCCTCTTCGTCCTCAAAAAAAAAACGCGAGAGTCGAGACCAGCATTCTAAATCGACATTCTCAGAGCACCCCCAGCTGAGAATTCGCAAAAGGGTCTGGAGCCTTTGTTTTCCGAGCTTTGCCTGTGGATTGCAATATGCAGGAAGCTTGCAGGCTGGCAACGTTCTATGACGCAACATCCCAAGCTTCAACCGTACACTGCCCAGTCAACCCCCTAAATCCTCGTCAACGGCTTAGCACAACAAGTCCTCATGCAGTGCTTCATGAGAGCACCGATCCGCAAGCTGGCGATGCCCCAGCTGAAAAGCTTCTCGTTCCTGCACGTCCTGAGCTTGTTACTTTCACTGTCTGACCATCTGGGACCATTTAAAAGCAAAAAGAAACCATCAAATCTTAGCTTATCCCAGCATCCGCGTCGGTCACCACCCATTTCGTGGCCGACAGGGGCATGCCCATGCTGCGGAAGTGGAAGAGGTCGAAGGAGGCAGGGCAGGGACCCTCGGAGTCCTCTTTACAGGGTTTACCGATATCGAAAAATTGAAGCTGGCGTGGGGTCTCAACAGCTGTCTTTACGTATTCGTTCGCGAAGCTGGTGCATGTGAGAAGTCACAGCCCAACTTTCTAAGCTGTGACATGAGACAAGCTGGCATCTTTCATACATCTAAGTCTCATTCATGTCCTCTGCCAGTGTGTTTGGGCTCTATGTAGGCACACACTTCAGCCGAAGTCGAAGTATCCCACGCAAACCTAAACTCCACTTCCATGTGCGCTGTGGCTTCGGATGTGGAATTCATGTCATCTCATTCTGGCATGAGTGATTCTTGTTGGGACCTAGCACTTGCTTTCGTGGGTACTTCTCACTCTTGCTTCACGACATTCTCGGCTTCAGGCCGGCATTTTCCTTCTGGAAGGTGGAGTGACTACGCATTGAGCGGAAGCACAGGGTCTGGAACTTTACACGTGTTGTGACATGCAAACATGCGCACACCCATTTTCTGCATGGGCAATATGCTTGACTCCTATAGAGGTTTCTACAAAACTAGTCTCAAGTCAGCCCTTTTTTTCGTACTTGCAAGTACTTGAGGATGTCCTGGACCTGTGCCAGCTTCTTCTGGAGCAGCTCTCGCGCCTGCAAAGCCCAACCGTGACAGCAGTGTGCCCGGTGTCCTTGAAGGCAAGCAGCTTAGGGGTGTCGGCAAAGAGATCTGGATGTGGAAGAAATGGGAGCCAGTGCCGGGATGGCAGGTTGAGGGAGGCTGGCGCGGAGGAAGCTTCTACAACTGGGGCTATTTCGATGGTTGACATGTCAAGTTAAATGGAAGCAAAGCCAGGTTTCCGTCGAACGTCTTGGTCCAGCAGCCCAGTCTGTCCACCGGACCGCAGCACGCCAAGGCGGTAAAGTAACCATCGAAGCAGTGCTGTGGTGCGGTCAGCACGGCCATCAAAGGTTAAGAAGTCTGTCCAAGCATTTTGACATGTTCCGGGTTCAATTGGGCGCCTCACATTGAATCTTCAGGGATGCTGGCAGTGCATGGTTTGGGCTTACCGGGCTCGTGGTCCTGCAAGGCATGGCGGGATGTGCACAGCGTGGAAGGTTTTAGGCCTATTTAGATCATGCTACGATACTTGCTGAAAAGCAAACAAGCCTCTCAATTTCATAGCGGTTTTGGGTCTACGGGAACAAACACGTGCAACATCTTGTAACGAGCCGGTTGCTGCGCAAATGGCGGATGAGCGCGGTGTCAAACTTATTGCCAGGGCGCTACAGGGAACTCAGACTCATATGTGGATGATTTTCCCATTCCACACACATTGACTGAAGATGTGCACTTCAAGCTTTCCTCCACGTGTGTGTGTGTGCGCATGTGTGGCGTAACTCGTTTCTGGTTTGTGCAAAGATGCATAATTGCAAGTCGTCTCGAGAGGGAACGGCCATTGTACTACGTAGCTCTGAAGAGACGACAGGCTTCGGGAATGCCCCGTAGTGTTTGCAAACCCGCATGCGTGACGAAATTTACAGGAAGTGCTGCCACAATGTACGCTAGTACGCCGCTGGTAGAAATCGCTACTGCATGAACCGTGTGTTTTGTGAATTTATGGGTTGAGGGGTGTGGCGGGCACGTCCAGCACTTCAACATCAAGTCGAGCTATGTGGAGAGAGCGCGAATGGTACTCGTTTCTTTCACCGTGAAGGAGGCGTACTTCTAGCCTTCTCAGGAATGGCCTTTGGAAGGTAGAATACGTAGCTAGCTTCGGGATGGCATCTATAAGACATAATTTGCGTCCTTGCAAATGCAGGGTCTTGTGTGCATCGGAAACGAGTCAACTACTCGTGAATTTGGACGTTTTCAGAGTTGAAGTTCGGGCCAGGCAAAGCGGTTTGTTTAAGCTTCGAACTTCGAAGCTCAGGGGTTTACGGCAGCTTGGGCTCAATAGGCGCTACTTCTCGCGTTTCTGGCTCCCCTAGCAGCTATCTCCAGCCGTCGGTCTTTTCCTTCGAACCTCCTGATCTGGTTTGATTGAACCACTTTTGCGTGTCGGACTCGAAGTGCACGATTGCCCGCACTGCAAGTCGTTGCTGGAGGCGGACGGGATACATGAAGCTGCCAGTGCTGCTTGCCTGAGTCGTCATCCAACAAAGGGATGAAGCATGACGAAGATATATTCTCCTCGTGCGCTGACTGCGTAGTTCTAGTCAGGACTTGTGTGTGTGTGTGTGTGTCTCCTGCCGCTGACAAGTCCTGCAACCTTCCTGTCTGAGCTTAGCACCAAGCAGGGAAGAACAAATTCTGAGCGAAGGGCACCCATGGCTACACAAAGAGCTTGTCTCAAGCTGCTCTCAGCTGTACAAAGCAGCACATGTAGGATCCTACTTCTTTAAGCTCATGATCTTGCGACTCGGGCACATCAGGGTCCTGGTCCCTGTCCAGTCCCCGGTACTGTATGGGTTGATCACTGGCATCTTCTGCGCCCAGGATCAGGCCAGCCCAGTCCTCGGAATCACGCCCCTATGGTCAACAAAGTTGGCCCTGCCAAGAGTTTTACTGTCGGAAGGCGGTGCTTGAGACTTTGTGGAGCCCAAGCATCTTTGTGGAGTCCAAGCATCGCAAAAAAGGGGCGATCTTTGACAATTTGACTCTCGTGTCTGTCTCAGGTTGCAGACAGCTTCTTTTGCTGACGCCAAGGGGCATGGCACCACACGAATCCGAGACATTCCCCAGCAGCAAAGTCCATTTCGAGGCGGATGATGATCACGCTGGGTCCAAACTTCTTGTTCTGCAGATCCGGTGGCAAGCCCTCGGTTAAGGAAGGGGCCGTTGAAATTGAGATGCATCAGCCGCTGTCAAGTTCTGAGGTTCTGGAACCACAAGCCCTCGCCAGCCCTGAGCCCTGAATCTCCAGCCGAAGCCCTTGGTCCATATCCTGCGGGTGGGGCACAACGAGTCGCCGCCGGCCACGATATCGCCCTGAGGTGGCATTCTCCATTCGGATGCGGTCGATGCCCAGCACCTTTGGAGCGGTGTGGTTGTGGTGTTTGTATTCCTTTTCGGGGGCATACAAACATGTGGAGCACTGGCTGCGTGTCCTTGCCGGAAGTTTGTGACTCGGGCCTACAGGCTGCAGCAGGGTGCACTACTGGCCCGTGTTTGGGCCACGTCTGGGGACCCTGGCGAGAGCTCACAGTAAGGAGGAGGAGGAGGAACAGGGGGAGAGAGAGAGAGAGAGAGAGAGGAGGAGAGAGAGCGAGAGAACATGGGTGGGGAATTGCCTTTCGAGCTAAAGAAGCAGAACAAGAGCTCAGTGTGTTTCCAGTGCATCATCATTGCCAAGCATGGGTCGTAGCAGGTTGTCAGCACCTCCCAGCGTCTTTCAGCTTAGGAGGTTCATGTTCCTAAAAGAGGGGAGGATAAACAGAGAGCTGCTTCCCCAAACCCCAAACCCTAAAATTGGAACCGCTTGAATTCTCAGCCGGGTGACCAGCGCGGGCTCCTGCGGAGTCGGAGAAGTACACATTGCCACCAGCGCGACCCCACCTGGAATGCCCCTGCTGGAATCTATTGCCCTAGCCCAGAGGTTAGCATCCTGCTCTGAGCATCACTGGTGCGGCTGCTTAGCTTGCACTCGAAGCCTAAATCCTCCCTCTGTCCAGATGGGTACTACGAAGTCTGGCTCAGGCAGCCGCGGCATCAAATGTAGCTGCACCCGGTTCAAGACGGCTCAAGCTTGAATTCAGCAATCCAAGATGCTGATAGTGCCATTCTCCGAGAAACACTGACCCGGATCCACGAAGTAGCCTCGGGCTTACGTCCCAAGAGATGCTTGGGGGAGTACTCCCAAGCTCCAGGCTTACATTGTGCTTAAGTGGGTGTCAGGATCCAATTCCGAAGCAGCTGCACAAAGCACTTTACTCGGAGATTTTTATTGCATTTAACCGGGGGGAGTCCACCATCCTGCATTGAGTTTTATGCCTCTGGCACGTAGATGCTTGTAGACACGTACTTGGGAGGCTGTGCGCGTGGCATGCGGCATGAGTACATGCTATGCGTGGTGTGTCGGAAAGTTGCGTGAATATTGTGCTTGTAAGGTTACTATGCATATCCTGAAGCCGATTAAAGCCGTATGCCAATTGAATTTCAATCGGGGCCAAGACTGAGATTGAAGATTGAAGATTGAAGATTGAAGATTGAAGATTGAAGATTGAAGATTGAAGATTGAAGATTGAAGATTCCCAGAAAAAAGTTTTCTGGGAATCTTCACTTTTCAATCTTCAATCCTGGCCCCCAATCGATTTAATCGTAATCGGGCTCGCGGTTTCTCTCAATGATAAAGTCTCAGAGGTTGCTTTGGTCGCTGAAACTCAGCTTAGTCGCAGGCATTTCAATCGACATCTGCTGTAGCATGTGTGTTTGTTCAACTAGCAATTGATTAAGAAATGGAATTAGGGATGCCGCCCTTTAACACTTATCAACAAGATTTAGTAAATGGGGTTATTTCTTTTGGGGGTTAAGGGCTCTCCTAGGGGCTCTACTCTGCAGTATTTAAGGCCCCCACCCCCTCTTTAGGGCTCAGGGAATACGACGTACGAGCAGGGAGCAAAATTAAGGGAACAAGATTTTGGAAACAAGATTTGGGGATCCCGCTCTGTAGAACTTAGCGACAAGGACTTAAGGTTTAGGCCCTCTTTAGAGACTTTAGAGCTTAGGGAAAAGGTGTCAGGGAGTGAAATCAACGGAAGAACATTGAGGGATCCCGCTCTATAGGATTTAGCACCAAGGATTTGGGGAATAGGCTTGGACGTGACAAAGGCAGGGCTTGGAATGACAAGGTTTCAATCAAGTCGCTATCTGAACTCTTTACATGTCAATTTCCTCCTTTCCAGATGAATGACACAACTCATAGATCTTAGGTCTTCTGCACAAGCACTCATAGCGCAAACTCATCCAGCATCGGCAGTCATCTTACTGAGAAGACAGGTAGTAAAGTAGACATGGATCCGAATATCGACTGTAGCCAAAGCAAGGCAGATCTTTGGAGATAATATGCACATGTCTGTGAGTTGTGTGCGGTGGGAGGCGGAAAGAAGAGCAAATTGTTTAGGCAGAGTATGAGAGGAAGGCCGGGCCGAGAAAGAGAACACAAAGAAGAGTTAGGAAGTGAGCTTGGTGGGGAGCATGTGCTGTTCAATCTTTGCTGCTCCTCCTTCACGAGGTGTTGTGATAATCACTCAGAGTGCATAATGAAATTTGGGGCATGCCGAGGCATCCGAGGCACCTGTCTTGTCCATCGCCACCTCGCGTGGAACGACGAAGTTGTGGGAGACGCGTTCCATCAAGTCGCTTGTGGCTGGAGGGCTCCTTCGCAAGTTTCCAGGAGTTTGTTGGGTCAGTCAGGCCAGGGATGCAGATACCTTCAACCTGTCCATTACCGTGCTCGAGTTCTACCGAGTTCTACCAGAGGACCATAGCCATTGCGGAACTGCTGTCGGCTGTTCCGGGGAAGGAACTCATGGAGAGTTTCCTCTCATGCCGGCCGAGATGTACCTACAACACCCTTTCTGTGCAGTGGCGGCTTCGCAGAAGCAACCTTCAGCTACTTACCACGTTCACCCCAAGCCCCAGGTCACAACACGGCCGGGAGTCCCGAGGCTCTGAAACACGAGCTTCCCCGGAGCGAGGCCAAATCCGGCCTGCACCGGAGTGATGCTTTAGCGGCTTTAGCCCAATGCTACGTTGTACACACATCTTTGGCCTTGGGGTTTTAGGGCTTTTGGGGCTTGCTCGCAGTGCCCTTTCGATGCGTACGACGAGCTTTGAACTGATTTCTTCGAGTTGTCTCGGGTAGTGTCTAAAATGGTGCTTGCGTCGTGCGTGCGTTCATCTCTCATAGCAACGTCAACAACAACCCTGTGCTGCGTTTGCTTCAGCCGATGCATCCTGGATGCGCTGCAGAATCCTTGACCGTGAAATCTCTACCTTGTGCCTGGGCATATTGAGCCTGCTCTATGTGTGATTGTACCTCTCTCTTCTTCCTCTGCTTCTTCTTCCTCCTCTTCTTCCGCTTCTTCTTCTTCTTCCTCTTCTTCTTCTTCTCCTTCTTCTTCTTCCTCTGCTTCTTCCTCTGCTTCTTCTGCTGCAGGGCTTGGAGGACAGGGCCTCCCTCTCTGTCTCTCTGTCTCTCAGTTCTCTCTCCATCACCCCCACCAGGTTGTTGAACGCGAGCAGCTCCAGACTCTTGTCGGACTTGTCCTGCTGCTCATCCCGCATGCAGCGTCACGCTGATGCAAGGCACCCGCATCCTAAACTCTGATCCTTTCACCTGAATCCTTGTAAGCTGACAATACCTGATCCCCGAGCCCATGCTCGAAGTCAAAAGGCCCGCGCCCTACATCCTCAACATTCCTCAACCATCTTAAGCCCCTTAAGCCCTTCAACTCCCGAAAAGAATGCCCGGTCCGCCCATTCGAACTTTCGGTTCGTCTCAATGGGGTCAAGGTGGAAGGTCAACCTCCGTCTGGCGATCTCCTGGGACTTTCCAACTATTTTCTAATTCCTACTTCCAAGACCAATCATACAAGTTCAGAGTTCAGCGCTCGCGGGTTTAGGCACGACGGAAATTAGGTTTCCCGGACGTAACAGTCCAAACTTTGCACGTACCTCTCTCTGCACGCATTGGGCGCGTCCACTTAGCCATGGTAGGCAAAGGGACCGCCACCTTAGCATGCCAACCCGCGCGCTGACGCTGTAGGAACCTGGTCGGAAACCAGGAATTCACCCCTGAAGGCCACGAGACCAAATTATTCTCCTCTCAACTCGAAACATCCCTAAGCTGCCCTAAGCCTTGGATCTCCAAAGGGTATGCCGATGGTATGCCGGGCTCCAATTGAACCCCCCACGCTCCCCCCAAAAAAAGGCCCAGCGGCGATGGGCTCCAGACCCGTCGCAGAGCGCATGGCCTCCTCGGCTTCTTTGGGGGCTTCGTGGCAAGGGGGGCCTCATCTTGCAAGGGCGTTCCGTACCACATGCTTCACTGCTTCTGCCAGCTTTACTCACCCTGGAACGGATTGGACCGGGACCTTTCCCTTCTGAGGGCTTCTGATCGTCTTGGGCATCTGTTTGGTCGACGTGCCCCAAGAGTCTACGAGCATACAGGACCGTGTGGCCGTCTACTATGGACTCCTTGCAAACAGATAAGAGCGTTGAGCTGCAAGTTTATCGACTTGATATGAACTGCGATGTTCTACCACTGTCGTTCTCCAAAGTCTTGCCCTAAAAAGCTAGCATGTTCTCATGGAGGTCTGTCGAACTTGGGCCGGTGCAATGAAAAGCCGGTGTGAAGAAAGGTCGAGGCTTGTACGCCCCTGAAGCCCCAGTTCTCACCCCTGAAGCCCTAATTCCCCACAACTTCCATCTTCCTTCCGCATTTCGGCGTAGGGTCCAGCATGAGCTGGCCGAACGGTGCCTGTCCATAGAAGACGTAGCCAACTGCCGAGATCATTCGCTCCACCTGAATCCAAGTAGGGTGCAAGGTTTGGGGTGCGAGGAGCCCCAAGGTTTGGGGTAATCCACAAAGGATTGGCCACGGATTTTGCGGATTCCGGGATTACGGGGTTGACGGATTCAGCTGGGGTGCGGTGTGGCGCTGGAAGACGAAGCAATCACTGCCAGGATGCGCCCTGGGATGGTATCGGACTGCAAAGGCATGGAAAGGCCAACACGAGCTCTCCTAAAAGGTTTCTCTTACATTCTTTGTGGAGTCCGGGGCTTTGCCAGCTTTGCTCTGTTTGACTTTTCCGGCTTTGGCAGGTTCGAGATGACGATCCCAGTTTGGAGTAGAGAATACGCGCAAAAGCCATCTGGGGGGTTTTGCTTCGAGAAGCAAGGCAACAAGACTCTGCAAGATGATGCCGCTGGCTCTGCACTGGCAAATCCAAGTGGTTCCTTCGGCGTTCGGCTTGATGTTTGGGAGCACATCGCGCTTTGCCTTCAACAACTTTGGGAAAGACATCCCTCCAAAACCGCCAGGAAGAAAGGAAGCAGCAATCCGGTGTCTGGGCTGAGCGACTGCGGAAAGTGCCTCGACAGTTGAAGGACAGGACCGAGGTCGACTGCCTGGCTTTGCCGACGCGGGCAGGAAGCCGAACCACGCAAAGACTCCGTGAGACTCCAAGACCCAAGAGATTGGAACCATGGATTCACATGAGTAGCACTAGCGAACGCCTGTAACCCTGGGAGCCTCCCCTGCTTTCTCCGGCACGAAGCCGGTCCAGTTTCCAACGCCGACGCGGTTGATGCCTTGCTGCAGGGCTCGACTTTCTTAAAGATCGCGCTGGTTGCACTGTTGACCAACCCGAAAAGCTCGTGAGTTCCATTGCCGCTGTCAACCCAATTTGCAGTCCGAAGGGTTGGCTTTCTCCCGCTTAAGAGATCTTAAGAGGTGGTTTTCCGAAGCCTTTCTTTAAGTCCCCCAAGCTCCGAAACCCAGACAGTTAAGGTATGTTAAGGTGCTGAGAGCCTTCACGGCCACCCTTTGAAGGATGGCGAGGACTTCAGAGTAGAAGTTGGGTACCAGGCCAATGTCCGCGTTGGTCCTCGGAGAGGACACTCTCCCGAGTCAAGCAGTTCTGGGGAGGGCGGCACAAGAAGGATCATATATGCAATTACGAGGATCAGCACGATGAACTCCCCCGGCAGCAGAAGGGCCCGCTCCAAGACATCGCGCAGGAGAGGCAGGTTTGGGGCGTCATTGAAGACTGTGGACAGGACCTGGACATGAACCGAATATGTTATGTGCAAGGATGTGCAAGGGAGGGTTGTGTGCAAGGCAGTTCATCACGAACGGGGATTTAATTGTAAGGGTCCTTATATGTCCTTATGTTTGGCACCCTGAAACGGTAAAGAATATGCACTAAACAGAGACCCGATGGGTCCATAGCTTCGAGCTTAGGCCACCCCCCCCCCCCCCCCCCCGGCCCCCTTTTTCCGTGCAAATACAGCTCTAGCTCAACTCGGCACACAGGCCTGGCGCGTGGTTCGCATGAGGTCTGGGAGTCGCTCAAAAGCAGCATCTCGCCAAACCTGGGCTGTTTGGCCTGTTTAGGGCCTGTCAAAGCTTTAAGGGCGCCATTCGATGTTTCAGATCTGGGGCCTGGCCTCCATTCCACACGCCCAAGACCCGCCCAAAAAGAAACTCAACTCAGGAGCCTACAGAGCATCCGCCCTGCGAAGGATTTCTCTTTCATGGCAGGAAAGCTGTTACCTTGCGGGGGATGGGCCGACTTTAAAGCCCAAGCGCACTTGGCTCACCTGCGACCTCCACAGTGTGGAGGGACACATCGATTCTCTGAGCCTCGGTGCCGTGGGCTTCTTTGACCAAAGAAGGGTGGCTAAGTCTTAGGCTATCTAGGGCGAAGTATGGCTGAGTGCAAGGACGTTGGGCTTTGATTCGCCTTGGCAGCCTAGCATTCTGTCGAAAGTCACGGGATGTCGCATGTAGCACGACTTGTCATCTGGGAGGTGGGGTTTGCTCTGATGCAATTTCCCACCGCCCAAACATACTCAAACTCACAGAGCATCTTCCTCCGCCCCTGACTGCTCCTGCTTGCCTTCCAGCAGCTTTTGCCACATCGCGTGCATGCAGCCAGCTCGCAAGTGCCACGGTTTGACCAGGATCTTCGAAGGGCAGCAGGCTCGCCAGGTGCGAAAACGTCGGAGCGGCGGCCGCTAATTCTAGCAAGGCGCAGACGGCGCAGAGGCAGCAGCTCAGACGAGCATTCATGGAGCATGGGAGCTAATCCCGGGGTTATGGACCTATGGACTCGGTTAGACCACACTTTACACTTCACAGGCTGAACCGGGAATGCGCTAGACTTTCAGGAAGGCGCCAGGAATGCGCTTGTTGCTTCTGTTGATACTCGTGCCGAGCTCAAAGCTTCATTCATACAAAAAGCCCTGTCAAGAGCTCATTTGAGGGTTCTGGCTTCGAGAACTCCATGCGTTGGCAAGGCCGACTGCATGGATCTATCAGTGATCTATCCCACGAGTCTTCCACCTGCCTGGAGGTCCTAAGGGGTTCGCTCTTTGTTAATGAGGTCACCAGGAAGCGATATGCCTGCCTTCAGGGTGAATAGGTGAAGAAGTATTGGGAGTTGGGTATAGTTGAGTTGGAGACATTGAAGGTTTCGTGGGATCCAATACGCAACTCGTCTTTGGAGGATGGAGGACGCCATCTCCAAGACCGAATTGAACTCCCCGACTAGGCAACTCCGTGGGAGGGAAGACGTTGAAGCAACTGACCCAGGAAGAGAACGGGAACGCAACTCAGGGCGCTGCAGATTCTTTTCTTCGAGTTCCAGCTGAACAGGCCGAATGTCCGACCGTGATTCAAGCGTCTTCCGCTGCCGCTGCTTCCAGGCCTCTGCTTGTGATGCCGTGAGGTCCATGGGAACTTGGCAAAGGTTTCCAACATGAGAGTCGTACTGAAGTGTGCTTTGAAGTTCGGATGCCAAGATGCCGGGTAGGCAGAGACTTCGTAGTGGCCGCAAGGCTGGCGAGGGCTTGGAGGGTCAGCTTGGGGACCAAGTCGCCAAGGGGTTCATCCCAGAAAACCCCAGGATTCTCCTAACGTTTTACCACCCCACATAGCACGAACACAAACACAAACACACCCTTCCTGCCCCAACACGTCAGCTGATGATGGACTTGCGAACCTCATGAGGTCTTTCAAATTTCGCCCTTTAAAGGGCGAGCTTCTTGAAGTCATGGAGAAACCATTCCAGCAATATCATCCTGGAAGATAAGCAGATCCTGATTCTGAAACCGCCAATCCTGGAAGACATTAACGCTGTGCTCCTGGAGTTGTGCCGGTGGTGTCGGCTGCCGCGCGAAGAGGAGCTGCTTGCGAACTCTCTCGTCCTGCTAGGTGGAGTGGGGCGAAATTCTCAAGGTGTTGTAGATTCCTGTAATTTCTGGCCAGCCGGGCAGCTGCAACTTTTGATCTCTCTTGCAGGGGCAATTTCAAGCGTTCGGCCGCGCGAAAGGACCGGACCATTCCGAAGGCCCGCACAAACACTGCTTAGCGCAGCAAGGAGTTGGCTTCAGGGTGAAAACCCTAGCTTCGAAGAGCCCATTGGCCCACGACAACTGACCTGCTTATAATAAGGGTGAGCAGTGAGTCATTGCGCATGACTCAATGATGGTGCCACGCAGCTGAACGCCTGCCCTGCCTTGATGCGGGTCTTTGAGCGGACCTGGAAGATTTCTGGTGCACGGTTGCCCTCTCCATGCGCGAGCATCCGAATCTCCGCGTCGGCGTGGTGGCCGTGTGCAGCAAACTCGAACCCGAAAAACTGACGCTCTCCTCGGTGGCCACAGTGGCCACCCACCCCGATGTCTCCGTTGACTGGTCTGACTGGAATCGAAGCACGCACCAGATCTTCGCCGCTAAAGACCAGCGTTCGTGGAAGCCAGCACTCAGGGCCCAGCTGCACCGGCAAGTTCACAACCACGTGGCATATCATACAGTCCACAATGCAGCTGGGCCCTTCAAACATCACAACCCCGGGCTCAAAGTCGCATGCGGCCGTGATGGTCCAGCCACGCTTTTCTGATGGCCTTGATGGCCTTGATGGCCCTGATGGCCCTGCAACCACACCAACGCTGCGGCCAAAGTCGAGGAACTTCACTTCAAGGTGCTGCTGCAAGAGGCAAGCTCTCGGGATGGGCTCTACCTCCGCGAGGCGCCGTAGAAGCAGCTCCAGGGGCCAGTATTTCGATCCACGGACGGAACCTCGGCATGTGGATGAATTGCACCTGCACGGCAAGAGGTCCTCTGGAGTAGTCTCAAAGGCAAACAGGTCATAGTCGGCAGTGAGCTCGGCGCCGGGGCAAATGTTCTTCAGTGCGTAAACCTCGTAATCCCCGCTTGACTCAGTCAAAAAGCGCGTGTTCTCGTAAAATATGTTTGGTTCACAGCTGTGGTTCGTGAAGCTGTCGAGCTCGTTCAATTCGCGAATGTTTGCACCATGAAGAGGGGCATGCGTGAAAACATCGAGCACATACTCTTCGCTGCCATAGCGCAGCAGCACCTTCCCAGGAAGGTCGGGCAGAAAGTGGAACTTCGCCCGGTAGATAAGCTCGCCGTGGCGGATAGCACTTTTGGCAAACAAGCCCTTGCCACGTTCCGAGTCTCTAACCTCCACTTTCTCAATGAGAGGGACATCAAGCACCTTGATGAAGTCAGGGCCGTTCTCCGGCCCGCCCCCCAACTTCATGCTCAGCTTGTCGTATCCGTCGGTTGCAGGCCATGCAGTGCGTCGCAAAAGCCTGACAAGGACATCAGCCACTGCAATGATGGCCACGATCATGAGCAACATCCATGCGTAGCCAGTTCTGCCGCCTTCGTCGAAAACGTACCGCCCCAATGGTGTGAAGAAGGCCCTCGCTGCTGCGTCTGCAAAGGCGCACATCACGATGATGTTTGGCTGTGAGAAGACTGACCGTGAGCTGCTCGCCTGCATGGCGGTGCCTTCCCCGATACTCGCGACGCAGACGAGGGTGGGATACATCAGGAAGTCTGCTGCTAGGGCCGCCGACATTCCATGGCTCCTGAGGAGCAGCATTGCCCCAGCTGCAGCCACAATCAGCATGACCCACATAGCCAGAGCCTCATCCACAAGGCCGCTCTCTTGAACAGCCATGAGGCCAGCCCCGGCCACGGCAGTCGCGGCAAGCACAGCCCCAATGCCCGTGCCAATTGTGCGGTACTGCCACCCGCCGTCTACCTCGAGGAGCAGAGCGGTGGTCACTTCAACCGAGGCTGCCACTCCCAAACTAAGAAATTCCAGCATCAAGCACAGAAACACGATTGCAGGACGGTTGGAAAGGCTGGGTCCGGCTAACTCCTGCTCTCCGTCCGCTGAAACCTGCTCCTGTTCGAAGCCCTTCGGCGAAGATGGGACTGCCAGCACCAGGATTGCAGCCATGCAAAGACAAAGGAATGCGACTGCAACTGACACTGCAGCTGCTGCACTGGGCTGGAAGGGCGTGTTGCTCCCCAAGCCCGGCCCATCTCCAAGCATGCTGCTCAATAGGGGGCCAAGACCCATGCCCAAGGCGTAGGCGGAGTACTCCATGACCGCGGCGCGTACCTGCTCACGTGGCGGGGTCATTTGGCGCACGAGATAATGGATCAGCTGGCCCACACCCTCGAACAACCCCATTGCGACTCGCATCCCTAGCAGCTCATGCTGCGTTGGGGTGCCAGAGGCGAGCAAGCCCGCCAGGGCCACACCCAGGCCCGCGTTGGCCACCACAGGGAGGACTATGGCAGTGTGGATCTGGCTGGGAGACATCGTGTGCCAAGCAAGCCTCGAAGCGCAAATGCCGGCAAACAGGCCAATGCCGTTCGAGCCGATAAAAAACCCCGATGCGGCAGCGCCCCCGCCGGCATAGCGGCTGAGGTCATAGGACATTGGGATGATAAACGAGTACTGCACTGCTGCCACCAATGAAACACCTGCGCCCAAGAGCTGGAACGCCCAAGAGCTCGAGACACCCTTTATCGTCACGACGCGCATCAATACAAGGAGCTCAAAAGCCAACAGAACAGAGCCGATCACCATTGCCGTGGTGACAGCCATCGCCGTCTTGCCATCTGCGGTCGGGTCTTGATGGTCAAGACGTTCGGCGCGCGCGTGAAGCTTCATTGCGGAGGAGACATGTAAGGGAGCCGAGCCCTGAATGGCAAGCAGTTCATCGAAAAAGGGCTTGCGCGGCCCCATGACGACCACAACTAAGACATCATCTACTCCTCCTCCTACTGCTACTGCCACTCTTGCTACTGCTGCTACTGCTGCTACTGCTGCTGCTACTACTGCTACTACTACTACTGCTACTGCTACTACTACTACTACTACTACTACTACTACTACTACTACTACTACTACTACTACTACTACTACTACTACTACTACTACTACTACTACTGCGACTACTACTTGCGAAGACGAAATCGTCTGCAACCAGTACCACTACCGGGCCCACTAGGAGTAGCCGTCGTAAGAGTACTCGTACTATATTACGACGTGTTGGCTCCGCGCGAATAGGAGCTACTTGCAAGCTCGCTCGCCCTAACTTCTCAAGGTGCCCACTGATGTCAGGCGCCACATCCTATTGTGGTTCCCACCTTCGTAATGGTTTATACGGTGCTTTGCAGTGCGGCCTGTCTGAGATTCTCTGAAAACGTCTGCAAGGCCTTTCTGGGCCCAAACCTCAGGTTTTCTTGGCATCGGTCCATCATTTCCAGTACAGAAGTACGAACGCCAACTCCATCCATGCCAGCTGAATTATTGGCATTGCCAGCCGTTTTTCTCGATGATCAGCTTTCGCAGGGCTTTTCATCCCATTTTCAGATTTCGTTGCGGAGGATTTGTGTTGAAGCGGGCTGCAAATTTCGCCGCTCGGAACCAAATCCATGCTGGCAGCGTGGATGTGGCTTGAGTGGGAAGGAAATGTGCCTGTTTGAGTGGGGGTTGCCACAGGAAGCCCCGCCACGATTCGATTTCAAGGTGGGATGAGCTGCACAGGCAGAACACGCGCCTGGTCGTAGAGGGGTGTACGGGTGTCCTGGCAGCGAAGAACATAACGATTGAAAACACAAGTCGGGGACATGGATGTTTGGGGGGTCGTTTGAGTCATTGCTGGGGTTTGCAAGTGTTGGAGCTTTCAGGGCTGTCGTGTTGGTGTTGGACCCGTTGATGCGCATCCTCGAGGTTGAGTGCCGGGTTCTGGTAGAACAGGGCGAACCTTTTGGCGACTCAGGTTGCGTGTTGGATCCTAGTAGACGCTCTCTGGAGACACCCTGAGACCCTTGAGGTCATTAGCAAGACAGGCAACTTGCGAACATAGGCTCGGAAGTGACCATTTGTGAGACATATAGGGGCCAAATGGGAGCAATAACTGTGGCTCAGGTGAGCATACAGTGTCAGCAACAGGCCCAAAACCCACCTGATGATAATCTGCTTGTGTTCTGCAATGCTGCCTCTGCACCAAACTCTGCCCATCTACAGCGGGGATCTACTCGAGTTCAGCTTCAAAAGCAACCAAGATTTCCGTCAAATGGTATTTAGCATCGAACATCATTTCGGGCATCTCTCTGCACCAAGCCCTGCACAAGTCCATGTACTCGCCGGCGACCTCGAATTGCAGCAGCTCGGGATGATCCGGATGATGCGATGTGTGCCGATTTCTTCTTACGATCCGAGTGTCATGCAACTTGACGCAACTATAAGGCCGTTGCAGCGGTTTAGAGTGTCATGCAAACTTTTTTGCTGGTTTTCGATTGGGGCGTAAACCACCCCTAGCGGCCCCAAATCATCCCAGTTTTAGCCAGGATGCTGCCAGCTCCGGATCCACAACGCCGAGTCCATCGAGAAAATGGTAGATAACCACTTTCTGTAGGTCTCCTGGTGCAATCTGTAGGGTGGCTGCAGGCTTCTGAGCGTTTGTGCATGAGGCTTCCATGCTAGCTTGCAAGGAGCACAGTCAAGTGGAGCAGATGCAAAGCTGAGCGCAAGCCCTAGAGCCCTAGAGGAATTGCAACTGAAGTTGGGAACATGGCTCAAGACTGTCGAAAGAAGGAGAGAGAGGGAGCTCCGTGATCATGCCCAAGTCCTGTCCACCCTTGCAAAGACGCGTCATACACCGTGCCTCAGATCTCAGCAGGGGCGGGGTTCTTTTGTTTGACAGTGAAACCAGTCGACTCTTTGGGTTCTTGGCGATCGCTGGTGACCTTGTCATCGAGTAAGGGCATTCTATCTCTAAAGCCCTACGACCACGAGCTTCGCGAAGGGGTTCTTCAACCCAGCCGAAGCTGCCTTTTGCGAGGGAAGAACGCCTTGAAACTCTTGAGCAGAAAATGTCATCAGAATCATCCATCGAGCACCTAGATTCCTCTGTCGTTTATGCACCGCCTACTTAGGCCTCCTGAGTGGCCAAGGGCTCAACACTGGTCCTTAAAGCCCCGAACTTGCTTTGCAGCCCCATCTGCTGTTCCAAGCGTCTAGTCGCAAAGCTGTTCGTGGAGTCCAGAAAGCCCTGCGAGTCAAAGTTCCGTTTCTGAACTGACGGAGATTGGAGAGAAACATCACGAGATCCTTCATCCATCGCTCTGAGACACCGAAATTCTGAAGGCGCCCGTCCCAGCCCTCAATGCGCGAGAAGGGGAAAGGATGCTCCGGTGCCTCGTTCACTCCATTCCCCACCCTCCACCCAATTGGCTCGTCCCCACCCTCCACCCTCGTGGGAAGCTTTGTCGTTGCCCAAGGCAGTGAGTCGAAGAGCCAGTTCAAAGAACATTGCTAGGCCAGAGGCAGCGTTCCAAAAACGAGATTTCGAAACACGCATCCCAAATCTTAAAGCGATGTGCTGTGGTGGAGCTCAGTGCTTTAGTCACGACCATACCGGCACAAGCTACACTGAGTATTCACTTCTCCAGGCCGCAACATGTCTGGGTTGAACGTGGGCGGGATACAAAACTTCCCAGGCAAGGGGCCCAGCGAGGAACAACTCCGACAGGATTTCCGTACTGATCGTTCCATGTGATGTCCTGGTGGCCAGGTCCTAATTAACCACTGCTCTAGTGAGCGGCAGCAAGGGTCCAAGGTAGGTTTGGTTTCTCGCCTTACAGTAGTGAAGCTTCGTGTTCGGTTCAGTTCTGTCACACTTTGACGCTATTATCCAATGTCATGAGGCAGCTGAACCTACTAGTTTACCAGTGAAAGCGTTTGGGGCACCCGCAGGCCCGAAGCCCCACTCAGCAGCAAAGCAGGTGAGGATGGCAAAAACCCTTCACGGGTCTGGGTCCTCCAAGCCCATCATGCCGGCAAACCTCGATCTTCGAATCTCAAGGTTCCGGCATCGAGGTAATTTAGGTGGGCTCCCACATGCTCCTCAAAAGCAGGGCCCCTTCAAGCCTGCACCTTGTCTTTTTTGGGAGGTTTCAGGCTTGATTCTTGATTCCACATGAGTTCAAGGTTCTGGTGATGACGAAGTGCCCGAAAGGGCTCGGAGGAATGAATGCCACTTGGTGTCCTGGCGGAGGGTCCTCTACTCACTCTACTCTTGATATTACGTTGGGTTTCGCCCAAGCACCGGCGTTGTAAGCCAAGGCACGCTTTCTGGCAGAACTCGTATGGGTGGTGCCAGAGCCAGCGAATGAGCTCCTGAGTTCCGGGTCTTCCCCATTTGTTCGGACCGCTTCTTACAGAAGGTCAGGGGCATAACGAAGAATAGAAAGAAGCAATCCGGGATGACATGGGCTTTGACATGAAGACTCTTGGTGGGAGTTCCTTTGGTAGTTGCTTTTCGTCCTCTCAACACGGTGGAAGCATTCGTCCTGAATTTCATCGGAATACTACTGATTTCCAGTACGACCCCATAAGCACACGGCATGATCCTTCTGAGAAGGGGCGCCGGGGTTGAGTTGTATTTTGAGATAGTGTTTGTCTTAGCAGCACCCAGACTTTCGATTCTTCTTGCTTCAGCCTGAAGACGGGTCACGTGCCGATGTGCAAACCCTGAGGCCTGCAGCACTCCTGTAGCAAGTGACACAAGACTCGAGCAGTCTGAGCCTCTCCTGCATGAACAAGGCGGTGTCAGGGTGCGACTTCATGTACACAACCTTCCGAGAGAAAACGCTGAAATCACGCTGATTCTTCGAGGGAATGCTACCTCCATGTGAGATCCTCGCCCAAAAAGCCCCTGTGCAACCAACATGGCACTCGCAACCTCCAACCCTGAACGGCCAAAGGGGACCTTACAGGTTGTGGCCTGTCAACTCTGCTCGTACCAGATGCATCCGGCCCCCAGTGACTAGCAACAAGACAAGCAAACAGCCACAGACCCTACAAACCCTGTGCGCCCCAATGGCGCGCCCCAATGTTGATGCACTCGCCACCAAAATCTCGCGTCAGCAGCAGCTCCGCCTGCTTATGCCGAGCGTCCCCCTTAATTTTTGTTGAGTGTTGGCAGCTTCAGCTTCATAAAGGACTTTAGGATGTTTAGGCGTTGAGAGAGTATACTGAAAGCCTACGGGCTGACTCGGGGTTTCAAGGCTCTCAGTCGGACCCTTGGCCGGGCTAACTCCTAGGCTTCGACAGCGATTCCGCCGAATCGACGGCCCGGGGTTTCAATCTCAGGGGGCTCTTGTTTCGGGTTCAGAAAGGTTGGGTCTAGGGTGAAGGGTCTGGAGGGCATCTCTGGCTGTATTCAAGTGTGCAGGACAGTCCTTTTTAACTAACGCAGGTAGCCACATGAACCAGGTTTGCTGAATCCGACTTGGGCGCAGTTTTCGACAACATCCCAGCTTGCGGATATGAGTTCTCAAGCTTCAAAGTTGTATATGTGCGAGAGGATCATGCATGTCGTGCACGGGCTCTCTTTCTGTTTGCTGCGCAGTGTGAATGTATGTAACCCACACTTCTGTTGAGCCCCAATGAAGCCCATGATGTCAGTGTGCCTGTGAGGAAGGACTAGCTCCAAAACAGTTCCAAGTTCCAACCGCATCACAAACAACACCAAGGTATGACAAGATGTGGGTGTGCTGCAAATGCCCGGACATGATAGCAGAAGTTGAGCAAAGACCCAGAATTCTGGTCACAAGATTGCCATAGCTGCGGTGCCTCGTCAGCATGGCGCAAGATGTGTGGCAGGGGGTCCTGCATTGTAACACGGGCTGGGAGCCGGATTCGCTTACCGCCCCAAGTAGGCAGGGCAGAACTCCCCACCATGGTGACCATAGCAGGGTACCTCCTAGTTAGACTGCCTTGTGGCCTCATCCTTAGCAGCCTCGAACCCAACCCACACGAAAGAGCCCTCGGGTCCCGACCACCCTGAACCCTAAACCCGACACATCACACCCCACGAAGTCTCCAAAGGCTCTGGATCTGACAAAGCCCGATCACCCCTCCACCCTGATCCCTGTTGGGCGACATCGTCCTGCATCAGGACCACGTCGAAGTCCAGGTACAAGACCTCCGGTGCTTTTTCGGATATGACGTTCCAGCGTCTGAGGTCCGGCCTATGCTACTGGTATCATGCATTGAGTTTCCCACACATCCCATGGGCTGCCATGAGGATTTAGGCAGAATGACGATGTGGTGAAGCGGATTGAACGCACAAGTCACTTCGATGGCATTGTTGACCCAAAAACAGGCATCTTCCTGTGCGACGCTGCGCAAAGTCCTAGCCGAGCGAGCTTCAGAGTCCGAGCCACATCAAAGCCGGAGTTCAAGATCACGGACATCATGTGGAACTTGTTGGCGGTGGTTTGCAAGCCTGGGCTGAGTCCATGGGCTGGGCTTCAAAATTTCACAGGCCAAAGCCAAAAAACTGCCAAAAGGGCAGCACCCTCCAACATTCCACTTACCCCGAGCTTGACATCTCCACTGGCTTTCTGAAGGCTTTGTGCAGCCCGACGTCTAAAGACTTTCCATGTTCTGCACACCCCATGAGTTGTGGAACAATACCATCCTGCTTGACATGTGAGGGTAGAAGCATGCATACGTTAGAAGCACTTCCCAGACACGAAACCATGCCGTGATGTGCAGGATGCTAGCAGAGATTTTTCAGGTAGCGCTGCTTAGATGCTACCAGTACGTTGCTGGTGTGTTGCCACAAACGGTGCAGTGCATTCCGCCATCACCCTCAAGCCCAAAGACCCGTCCCCTCACCCAAAAAGTCCCAAAGAAGTCTGGCCAAAGGCGCTGCCCTGGACGCACCCGCGGCGGTTGGAATGTGCTCTCCGGCAGGCCTGAGACCCAAAAGTGTCTTCAAATGTGTTCAAGATGTCTTAGTAAAAAAAACTATGGTTCGCTCAGCGAGTGCCACGAATGTAACTCTTGCACGCTTAGAGTACTCCTTTACAATCTCTTTCTTCAGTGGCCTCCGCGCTGTCGGAATCCAGGCAGAAGACCAGGGTGTGAGAGAGGTGTCCGAACCTGAGAATTATGAAGTTCAGAGAAGTTCCAAGAGCGCCTAGAGGCAATCGGCCCCTTCAAGGGAAGTTAGTACAGCTGGAGATGGACTGGATGCCTAAACTTCGAAGCTGTCAGCGTGGCTTGCGTGAAGAACAATGAGGATATGAAATCTTATTTGACAACTTCACTTCCAAACTCAGTTCCGCCATTCCAAGCAGAGGCACGCCTTCAAGCGCAGCAACCACTTGGGCAAATGCCTCTGCGTAGATCAGATGCCCACAACTCTGTCATGCTCTGTCACTTCACTGCGCATCCAAACAGCCACCCCTCACAACTCTCCCACTTCCATGGACCCTCCAACTCCATCAGCGCAAACAACCCTCCCTCAACTCTCTCCCTCTCTCACTCGTAAAGTATGCAGAGATCGTGATGCTCGTGACACGGAACGCCGTCACATGGACTTGGCCTAACTTCTTGTTATCCTGAGAGCACACTTCCTGTGAAATTCAGTTGCGTCTCATGCTGATTTCCGCTCTGGAGACAGACTCCAAGGACATGCCTGAAGCCGCCACAGCCCCTTCAAAAGAGAAACAACACGCCGAGCTTGTCAGAGGCTTTGGCAGGGCTGAAAAATGGGGTGGGGTGGGAAACTTTGCGTCGATTCCCGAAAGCTTCGGCGAGCTCCTGAGGATGGCCCAACAAAGGACACAAGTGGTTTCTCAGGGGCGGGGTTCTTTGCCCAGGCGGCTGCGCCAGCCGCTTCCCGTAGATCATGGTGAGAATGATCGGTCGGCCTGTAGGCAGAGGAACCGCCGAAATGTCCAGAAGATACCTGAGAAGCTACACACTGCCTCGAGAAGACTGACTTCCCAAGACCTGACTGAAAACGATGCTTGTCCCTGCCTTCGCTTGGTTGTCTCAGCGTCCTGGGGCTTGCATTTGCATCACGCAGGGTTGCGGCATGTTGTGGCGGAACGTCGACATGAAAACTCTGCAAAACGGGCACTGACAAGAAGATGTGCAAGCTACTGTAGCCTAGGCCCCAGCCCCTAGAACAGCTTTGGACTGCCCTGCTTGGCCACTTTAGCCAAGGGACGACTCCAGAAACCGTAAGGTCGAACGGTAGGCCTCGCGTCCGAGCGCTCAGGGTGTAAAGCGGTAAGGAGAGTTCTCATGGTTTCTTCCTGATCTTCAACAGTACACATACGAGAGTATATACGAGGATGTAAAAGGTGTGTCGTCGAGCGGTCAAGCCTTGAGAGGGTCACCAAAGCCGATTCCTGTGTAACCATGGCTGACTTCATCCCAAGGCTCCCGACAACCCAAACCTTAGGGTTGTGGTTTGTTTTCGGGGGTCTTTAGCTCCAGAGGGGCAGCAATCATCAGTTAACCAGCCTTACTTGGACGCCCGTGACGCCGAAAGCGCAGTGTCTCGATCGACACGGCCTCGGCGAAAGTGAGCCTACGTGGGCTCAGGTTGTAATGCGGCTGCAAGGTTGCAGTTGACGACTCGCTACTGCAGGAGCCTGGCATCCTCGGCCTAATTAACCTTTCTGTCGTCAACTGCCAGTCGTCAAGTGTTGTGCACGCTGTGGTGTTAGTAATAGTAGCAATCCTACAGCATGACGAATCCTGCAGGTTTTTAGGTGCGTGAGCTTTGATTGATGCCTTAGAGATGCCCCTTCGAGCTCAAGCGGGTGCATGTTAAGGAAAGAAGAGTCCCGGAAGCAGAACATTCAGAGACGTTTGAGTCGAGGCAGGGGAGGCAGGGAAGCTAGGAAGCTTCTGGAAGGTTCGGCGACTTTGAGTGTGATGGCAAGAGCCCTCGACTCGGGAACCTCTAGCTTTGGGCCCGGCTGGGAGTTGCAGCCGCTCGGCATCGGGATACAGCAGCTCCTGATGTTTCTTGAAGCTCGAAGGCTTACGACAATGAGGTAGCCCCCATTAGAGCCCGTATCTTGTGCTTGTCATACCTAGATCCCTGAAGATTCCTCGTCGAACTGAATCCAGCTCGCAGCATGCAGAATCGAAACCAAGAAGCCTCACCCCATTTCAGAGTTGAGGTGAGTACTGACCCCATACACAGCCTAGGAACCCTCACAAACCTTTGCCCTTAACCTGGAACCCGTTCTTTCGCCTCAGGATGGAAGTCCAGGACGTACGGCTTGGTCCTCAGATTGGGATGTTAAATGTCCAGCGGGGTGCTAGCATGTTGACACCATGAAGAGGCTCAGAACGACAGGACACGTTCTCTGGCGTTCCGATAGTTCTTGGCGGGTGAAGAGCGTGAGTTTTCGCCGAACTTAATTCATCCGCCAACGCCCTTGGATGCCCTGGGTATAAACCCTCTAAGTCTTAAAGTCGCCGCCAACGCATCATGTTGCAACGTTTGGGTATGCTTCTGCCATTCAAGTCCTGCCTGCCGTTCTGCGGTGCTCTTCTTAACATCGCGAGAAACCTGCACAATTGACAGCGCCCACTTCGAATCTATGGCTCGGACTCAATTTTACGCACACTGCAAAGTCAGTAGCTTAAGGATCAAGAGGGCCCTCTGTGGGCCGAAAAGAAAGACCGCGGGTGATATGGCCAGGGAGGAAGCCTGCACTGATTTCACAGCTCCCAAAACTCTTTCTGGCCATTCACCGATGTTTCACGGTCCCGGCATCTCGGCGCTCAGCCCGCTCTTCAAGCCTTTCGGTTTCGGCAACTAACTGGTATGTCCCTTTTTCTAAGAGCTTCTTTAGGGCCTCAGCGTTGCCTTGAATCTTTGTGAGGGCATCTACAATCATGGCTTGATGCTCAACCCAGCGAACTTCGGCGCCTACGCCATCCATTCTCTCACGAGCTATCGCCAAGTCCAGCGCGGTGTACTTGTCTTGGGCCAGCGAACCCTCCTTTCGGAGGTTGTCGTAGAGCGACTTCGCATCCACAACTGTCAGCGAATCTTTGAGCGTGTGATCTGCCTTGGCACTCTGCAGCACCAAATCGGCCTGGGCTCTGACGTTCTCTTTGAAAACTTCGAGGCTGAACTTCTCCTGGATCAAGTCATTCCAGATTGCTTTCGCCCACAGAAGATCTCCTAGACCTTTGTTGAGCGATTGAGTCTCGGCGGCCAAGGTTGAGTTCACTTTTCTTCTCAGCTTTCCGCTCTTCCACCAGACCAGCGAGCAGGTAGCTTCGTGCCCCTGCAACATGTCCTTGTGGAATGCTATGACTCCCAAGGCCCCCTGGGTGGAGCCGTCGCTGTAGTTGGTGAAGCTTGCATCCGTGACCACGCCCCATCTCAGGTCCTCGCACTCTATTGGGAAGTAGCGCAAGGTGAGGTCTGGCCAAGCGCGCACCTTATTGATGCACTGGTTCAGCTCGAGAATGTCCTTGATCTTGAGCGTGCTCAACTTGGATGCCATTATGCTGGCTCCAGCGGCGGCATCTGGACGACATTCCTTGGCGGCCCACGCTAGAGATCCTACGGCACCTCTGAACTTGTTCTTCTCTTCCTCTGTCGCGTCCGCCTCGGGGTGAGCTCTGCGCCCCTTTTCCAGACTCACTGGCGCCATTCTTTCGGACACGAACTTGCCCATGTCTACGCAGACGGTGTAGTCGCTCAGTTGTCTGATGCGTCGCCCGTTGAATGTCGTGCCATCCAAGAGCTGCATCAACTGCTTGAATTTTCCGAATTTAAAGCGCTCGCGCAGTTTTGCCAGCTGAACTTCGTGATCTCGGTTGCCAAAGCACAGCAAGTCGTCGATCTCTATCACTATGATCCCTTCAACGGTGCCCTCTAAGTATTTAACGAAGATGGTTGGGTCTAGCCTGCTTTGCTTGTAGTTCAAGTCCTTCACGATGTAGCTCTTCAGCGTCTGGCGCCAATGTATGGGACCATCCATGAGCCCGTAAACGCCGGCCACCACTTCGATGATCTGTTCTGGGTCCATGTTCGGTAGACCCCCTTTTGGCTGCCTCACGTAGAGCTTGCCGCCGGGTCTCAAGAGAGGGTCCGACTGGGTGAAGGCTGCTTTCAGGTCCCCGCAGGACCCCCTCAGCTTCATACTTGCGGCCAGCTGCAAAACCACTTGCAAGTTCTGTGTCGTGACCGTCGGGCTGTATCTTTCCAAGTCCAGAGCATCGGGATCCATGTCACCTCGCACGCAAAAGCGAGACTTCTTTGACGGTGTCTCGCCAATCTGTTCCCCGGGCTTCAGCCTTCGGACCATTCTTGACCCGATCACCCGGTTCAGCTTGCCCTGCGACTCCAGCTCCTTGAGGACTCTTCTTGACTCCTCCACCGACAGCACCTTCATCGCGCCGGAACTTTCTATTTTGCTCCACTCTTCAGCGTCTTGTAGTCGCCAGGCTGGCCACTCCTCTTCGGGAATGTCGGCCTCGCTTACCTCATCCGTCGCCACCTTTTTCATGACGAAGGTCTCGGCATTGAGGACCATGAACGTATACGCTTCGGTCGTCTCCACGTCAAAGTTGGGGACCTCTTTCGACGTTACATGCTTCAGGTTCCTTCAGGCCTTCTTGGTGACATAGAAGTCGGTGAAGCCTTTCCATTTGGCTTTCAGATCTCGCTGGGGTTTCAAACTCTTCCAATCGTCCTCCACTTCTTGCACGCTTCCATCTTTCATCTTCGCCATCGTCTTCCTCTCTCCTGTGAGATCTTCCAGCTTGACTGGCAGCCTCGTCGTCTCCCAGGGTGTGCACATCGCGCTGCGCCAGCGAACGTGATGCCTTCTCAGGACGCCCAGGGCCGGCTTTAGCTCCCAGGTGTCACGCTGCACTTCGCTTTGTCGCCGAGGTGGAACTGGCATCGGTCCTTCTTCGAACTCATCCTGGCCAAAGAACGAGTATGGGTTGCCCGGCTCCTGCTGCCTTCTCAGGAAGATCGCACCGGCTCATACCCAGCGCTGCTCTCCGCCTCTGCTAGCCTGCTTGGCGCTCTTGGGGGAACACCGTCCAATCTCTGGCTCTGCACCGCGGAGTCCACAGCTGCGCGTAGTCGTTCTTCTCGACCGGGAGCTTCAGGAACGGGGAGTTCGGGAACCTCTATCTCTGCCTCGGGCTCCGGCGCTGATGCTTGCCTTGCTGGCTCTGCTGGGACTTCTGGCACTGGAGTTTCTGGCAGTTGCGCTGGATCGGGAAGTTCTTCTGGCGGAATAGGTATAGGCACCACGGGCGTCTCCGGCTCGTCAATCCTCACTCGGGGTAGCCCTCGATGTAGGCCTTCTGCGCTCACTTCATCTTCGCCAGCTTCGCGAACTATGGCTCCTCGGGAAACTCCTGGTGGAAGTGGGTCGCCCGTGTGGTCCTCGATTAAACGACTGCTCGACTTCTTGAAGCGCTCCTTTAGGTCTTGGAACACTTCATGCACAGCTTCCACTCCGCGAACCTCCTCCGACGTGGCCTCCCGCACGTGCTCGTTGCAGACCTTCCAAAGTCTGCCCAACACATTGACGTAGCAGTTCGCTCCCTCAGGCATCAAAACGACGCCTGGCCCGACCCAGTTAGGCTTAAGCACACCTTTATCCTTCCACGACCGCCAAATGTAGACGATCTCTCCCGGCTGAAAGGTTCGGTGCACGCGATTCCTGGCTCGGAGAGCGTGCTTAGCCGCCTCGGACAGGTTGGTCTCCACGAACGCCTTCTGGGCAGCCCTGCGCGCTGCCAACACTCTTTCCACCTCCTCACCGTGGTTCACCAGCGCGGGGTCAATGGCATCGTCCGACATGAGCTCCCCATTGGTCCGCGCTGTCTGCCCCAGCATCCTTTGAGCTGGAGAAAAGCCGGAGCGATTGAAGAGGCGATTTTTGGCTGCTTCCACCTCACGTGTCAGCAACCTGAGGTCATCCTCTGAGCACGGAGGATTCTGCCACTTCGCCTTTTCCATCATCTGCTTGAAGAGGCCGCCATGCCTTTCACAGCGCCCGTTCTGGTGTGGCGCCCTGGCCCCAATAACGTGCAGAAGCACGCCTAGTTCCGCGCATCGGTCTCGAAATTCGCCCAAGAACTCTCGCCCTTGGTCCAGAAGGAGGATCTGTGGCATTCCTAAGAAGCGCCCCCACGTTCTGGTAAAGGCCGCCCACACACTCACGGGCTCTTTGCTTCGTAGCTTTTCCACCATCTGGAAGGAGGTGCCCAGGCAAATCATGTTCAAGTACCAGTTCTGTCCGGAAGCATCCCAATTCGGCATCTGCAAGAGGTCGATCGCGACCACGGTGTTGGGCGCGTACGACCTGGGCACCATCGCCGGCCTATGCGCCTTCGGAGTTCTACTGGCAGCGCAGGTAGGACATCTGAAGTTGTCCTTCGCCCAACGCCATATCCTGTCTGGTGTTCGGCTCACCTTCAGAGCCAGATCCGCCAAGCTGGGGTGTCCCAAGTTTCGATGCAGCTTCATCACTGCCTCCTTTTCTTGTCTTGTAGGCTCACCCACCGGGACGACCGAGTCTTCAGGACGTTCGTCCACTGTGTCCATCGGGCGAAGGTCGAGCTCGTCGAAGATGTCCTGCTCTGCGACCTCTCCGGGGAAGCATTCGAGGTTATAGTCCATGATTGCCCCCTCCGCTCGGGGCGGCTTGCCCTTCGCCATGGCATACTTGACTGCGTCCTTGAAGTTTGTGATCTGGTACTTCTTGCGGTATAGCAGGTAGGACGCGGTGCCTTCTGAAGTGGCCTCCTTCAGGTTCTTCAAGCCTGATGACAGCGGCCCCAAGGCACTGATTACAAAGCCACGGCCCTTCCTCCACTGATGTCTCGCGATGCGACAAGCCAGCGACGACTGCTCCGACGCCACCTTGTTCAGGTATATTACTTTGGGACCTTGGCTCTCGATGTCCTTCCACACCGCATTCTGGTTGACGCCCTTTAGGTCTATGGTCATGGCGTCAACCCCGGCACTAGCCCCCACGAGGTAGTCCAGGATCTGATCAGACTTCGCCTTGTCGATCTTGGTCTCGTCGCTCTGGTGCTCCAAGTACAGCTCGGGCTCTTTGACCACCACATAGACCTCCTCGTCTTCCAGGCTGTGCAGGCCCTCCACGTCCTGCCGGTCCATTCGCTGCAGGACACCATTCTTGGAGACCACCACAAAGTCGTCCAGGAAGGGAAGAGGCCTGGCCATCCAACGACGCACCATGTTAGGCGTAGCACTTTGCAACACTCGCGTTCCATCCCACGATCTGACGTTCTGGCCTACGTTCACATTCTTGCCAGTTGCTTCGCCACTTGGGTTCTTTGGGTCATCATGCGCGCGTAGAACTGGTTCACCATGTCCACCGCTTGCTTCATCGTGGCCACGGCTTGCTCCCAGTCGCTCTTGGTTTCTCGCAAGGGCAGCGTGTTCGCTCGATGTCGGGTCTCCTGCTCGTAGCGCTGAACTCTCTTGAACTCGGAGACCATTGCCTGCACCTGGTTCGCGGTAGTCGGGTCCATCTCGGACAGGTGAGCCTCCATTGCGGTCACGTTCTCCACCGCCCTCTCGAACTCCAGGTACTCGCCCTCGCGCAAGTCCAGCGTAGTCTGCAGCTCGTCGTTCCTGGCGCGCTCGTCCGCCAGCTGCTGCATCAGGTTTCCCATCTCCACCTGGTGCTTCTGGGCCATTCGCTTCTCTTGTTGTTTCAGAGCGTTCTCCGCCAGGTTGAGGGTCTTCTCCTTCGACTGGTTCACGGTCTCCACCGGTCGGCCGGTCAAAGCTCCGGCTGTTCTCGGGCTGAGCTTCCATCGAGCCTTGCACAGGTTGCAGTGGAACCAGTTCATGTGTCCATTGCCTCCTCCTTTGAGCTGCTGAGCTGGGTGAGCACAGCGGCCAATCTCTTGAGTCGGCACGCCTTTCACCGAAGCCAACTGTTCGGGCCTCTCGCCTTCCAGGTAGTTCTTGTAGATCTGGCCCCTGCTGGTAGCCGAACTCGTAGTCAAGGTCGCTGGCGAAGTGGTATCCGTAGGGCTGGGCTGCTGCTGCGACTCTGGCCCGGGAAGAGAGATCCACGGTGACACCACGGTTTGCCAGTATCCCCAGGCCAGCAGCGAGCAGAGTTTGTCCAACAAAACCCGCCAGTTTCGGACGGCGAGCCTTGGCCGGCTGACGGGATTCCGCACTAGCTGCCATGGATTCCGCTGCCGCCCCTGCTGCTGCTGCTGCAGGGCACGAGAAGCTAGCATAGGCCTCGGACTTAAGAGTCTTGGACGATCTTGTAGTCTTTGGTCTCGAGCCAAAAACCTGCCCAGTGCGAAAGTCGGACTCCATACGACGCCCTGCACACGCGGAAGGCATCACCCAACCTTCAGGACCAAAGTCAAGCACATCCACAGCTGCGTGCCCTGAGGGAAGAGTCGTCATGTTGCACTCTCCATTCACTTTGCTGAAGGTGATCTTGTCTTTGCTTAGGTCAATGACTGAACCCAAGGCCCTCAAGAGACTAACCGGCAACAGCAATGGCACGTCTTCGGCTACGACTGTCAGCTCAAGCACTCCTGGAACTCCACCGAGGCCGATGGGAACTTCGCACACGCCGACTGTTTTTGCTGCGCCTCCAATGCCGCGTGCCTGGGTGGCCTTGTCCGTCCAGCAGCCTTTTAGGCCTAGGGGCCTCAAAAGGTCCAGCAAACGAAGAAGGGCCGGACGACCCACCAGGCCTTCCTGAGCCGCAGTGTCCACCAGGCCGTGGCATCCCTGCGTAGTCACTCCCACGAAGAGCTCGCCCGCCATCGACTCGCCCGGCCTGTCGTTGAGGAACTGGCCGAAGGACAAGAAGGTGTTTGCTCCACCAGACCCGCCATCCGTTCGGCCGGCCCAGTAGAAGGACCCTCGGCTTGCTCCCGGGCCCGACGATGACGAAGAGGTTGTCAGCGATGGCCCCGCTCGGTGCCTACACTCCTTGCTCCAATGCCCGACTTCTCCGCAAGCCCGGCATCGAGTGCTCTATGTGCACTCTTCGTGACGTAGGCGACCCCTTCCATGCCGAGCCGCCTTTGCCGAAGGACTTGCTGCTCTGCTTGCCGGTGTTCTTGCCGTCCTTGTTGAAGAGCTTCTTGCCCCCTTTCTTGCCAAGGTTCGGCTGGTAGTACTGCCGGCCCTTTTGCTGTTCTTTGAGCTGCTGCCGAACATGTTGGTACGACGCCAAGGCTTCCATGACATCGCCTTCCTCGTACACCGCGTCCAGCTCGCCGTCTTCTAGGTACACGTAGTTCTCGTCTTCTTCGTCTTCCGCCTCCAGGTAGAACTCGGGCTCGCCATAGTGCTCGTGGTTCTCGTAGTACACCTCCTGGCCTTCGCCCTCTTCAGTCTCCGTCCAGAGCATCGCCTTGGACCCGGAGCTGCTCGAGTTGATGCGGTCAAGTCGCCTTAGGTTGGCGATCACCACATCCTTGGTGTAGTCGCCAGCCAACCACGTGACCACACGGGACTCCAGCTCTTTGTCCAAGTTCGCCTGCCGGAACAGCAAGTATCCGGCAGCCTTCGCCGGAAGGTCCACGCCCTCGGCTTTGAGCTCCGCCAAGGCATGCGACGCGCGCACCAGGTAATCCGGGATGGACTCCTTGGCACCTCTAGCCTGGCCATAGAACACGCCCTCCATGGCCCTCGGCAACGCTGTCTCCACATACGGCTTAAAGTTGTCGTTGAGCACTTTCATCACCGTCTTGTAGCCGTCCGCATGCTGGAGCTCGGCCAGCGTCAAAGACGACACCGCCTCCCTTGCTGGCCCTGTGAGAGCTTGAACCAGCTTGATCGCCCTCTTCTCCTTGGGAATATCCGTCGTGGCCTCCCACAGCTCAAGATCTCGAAGCCAGGTCTTGAAAGAGACCTCTGGAGTGGAACCGTTCCAAGAAGGTGGGGGATCTCTATCTCGGTAGACATATCCTCCAGGATCGCCTGAGGACTGTCCTTCCGAAGTAGATGGCATCTTCACTCACTCGCTCTTGTAGATGTCGACGTGGCTGGGCTCGATCAGATACGTCACCACCTTCCCGCGGCTGATCGGTTAGAAGGCGAGGAGGGAAACAGCAGGCCCCTGGGACCGCCGGCTGCGACGCCACACACGCCGCCAAGAGCCACGCAGGCTCCGCTGCCAACTGACAGCGCCCACTTCGAATCTATGGCTCGGACTCAATTTTACGCACACTGCAAAGTCAGTAGCTTAAGGATCAAGAGGGCCCTCTGTGGGCCGAAAAGAAAGACCGCGGGTGATATGGCCAGGGAGGAAGCCTGCACTGATTTCACACAATCCATATCCGGTGAGGCTGCTTCGCCTTGCCTACAGATTGTCGGGCATTGAACGTCTTCGTTGTCGGCAACAAAGGGCGCAACGCGGCTGCAGAATTTAGGAAAACAGTGCCAGATGCTGTCGTGGAACTGGTAATGCGGCGCAAGCACATGATCGATCGTGATGTTCCTGGCATTCTGAGGGCAGTCACCAGTGCTCTGCGTCAGTCTGCCATACTGACCATACTGCCATTCACTCAAGCAACATCTCCAACAAGCACTTTCATATTGGATGAGAGGCCATGTTCAGGTACATACTTTCAGTTGCGCGTTCACGTGCCTCGACTTCGCAATTGCTTCGACAGGGCTTCAAAAGATCCCACAACTTCCTCTACTTCAACCCAGACTAGACCATTGGGCTCAGGCGATTGTCGATTTAAAGTCCACTTGAAGAGCCACATAGAAGCCTCCACAAGCTCAGAAGAAGAGTAACCAGCGTAAAGCTGCGAGGCCTACGCTGGACGGTCACCGCCACATGTGTGAGCATCCTGTGGCAATGGGTGTTCCAAAGCGGCTGAGGGTATGTTCCTAAAAGGCTGCCCGTGTCCAGGATCTGCACATCTCCTAGATTGGCTGTTGGGCTGTCTTGACTGTCGGAAGAATGTGGCGGTGCGAGGGGCTAGTTGAGGTGGCCTCAAGTGACATTTTGAACCGCACATCAGCTCAGAGGCTGGTGGACACGGATACAAGTTACAAGTGACGAAAGCAAGAAAAGGCAAAAAAGTCAAGGCACTGAGCGGCCTGAGGAAGGGCCAACGAGTGGCCATGAGCAGCGGAAGTGCTTGGAGGCCCAACTCCTCAGAGGCACGCAGGGTTTTTGGGGTACAAGTTTTCTTTGCTGTCTCTTGGTGCCAAATCATGATGTGCGACGCGCAATGTCGCCCAATGTCTTGAGTTCACCGAAAGCACGGCGTAGTTGCAGTGTAGCAGGAGTTTCCCGTGGGAGAGTCAAGAAACTCCTCGCCTCCAACTGGACTTCGACGAGGAGGAGAAGCAGCGTCAGCTGTTCCGACAGGTAGGGCACCTCTCTTGCTGAGACATGCTGATGTCAAGGTCTCTTCTGATCCTTCTTTGTCAAACTTTTGTATACTGCTGGCAGCTTCTAGTTCTTACCTTGTTGCTGTAGTGTAGCTAAACAATGCTGAAACAGATGTTGGGGCGAAACCAAATGGATATTTGCTATGCCCAATCTGGCACGGAACTCGCAAGCTGCAGCACTGCACTGATGCAAGCAGAACCGTGGGTTAAGGAAGAACATGTGTCCACCCCTATCCTCCAACACCCTTGCAGATGCAACTTACAGAGTCTACTATGGCTGAAAGATGCTCCAAGAACTCCACACAAGGCGAACCGACTGAGGCCCTTTGGAACCCAAAGCAGCTGGCCATTGCAAATTATACCAAACTCTGGCCAAGACTGTGAGGTTTGTCAGACGGGGTGCCATCTCAGAAATGCCCGTGATGCAGAGTTGGATCCTTGTTGCAAGGCGGGTTGGAGGTGACTTAGTTGCTTCAGCCAGAAGCCATTACAGAATCAGTGTCGGTCTACGTCAATTTTTAGTCGCACGCCCTGAATGCTGAATGCAATGGGAGCGCTACCGAATGCAGACAAAGATGGTCGTGCAAGGCTGACGTGTGACAATCTGCAGTGTCCTCGCAAAACTGGCAAAACTGCAAACCCCCAATGCTCATAAGCAAATGAGCCCTCCCTCTCAAGCTGCAGGCACTGATGGAGCAGGATCGCCAGCATTCCGAAGGGACATTCCACGGCCTCCGAAACCGGGCAGCGGTGCAACTTCACCGTACCGCGGCTACTGTTTTTGGAGAGCCACCCAGTATTCCGGGCATCAACTCTCCAAGGCCTCAGGCCTGTTTTTGTTTCGGTCGTCCTTTCGAGTATATGCCGCCCGTTGCGAGGCATCTCATTGAGTATTCTGGAGTAGATGGATCGCGCGCTGGCCGGCTGCGCATCCGCTAGGTACACAGGTTGCTTCAGCCTCTGCTTTCATGGGAGGATCATGCTGCAAAGTGATGCAGCAACTCCGGCCTTCAACTTCCAGCTCTGCACGGACTTGGGGTTCATGGTCATGGTGGAGGCCTGTAGGGGCAAAGCAAGTCCCACGACCCACAAAAGCCTCGGACATGAAAGCCGGCTTGGGCTCGGCACTGTATGGTACTGCCAGATCGAACAGCAGGGGTTGTTCGTCGTTCCGTTTTGGCTCGAAGCGCCCCTCCTTCAAACTTTCCGACCATGCGTCCTGACCCTCACCCCCTAGACATGGACAAGCGAAAGGTTGCAACCCTGCTCTGCTCAATTCACCTCCAACACAAGCAACCGGGAGCTTCTGGCCTCAACTGAGTCCCAAAGCAGCCTCAGTGCCAGAACGGTCAGCAAACACGCTCTCAGGATCTCTCAGGTGGAGCTTGCACCGAAATAATCTTGGGTGTTGGGCGCAAAGGACGGCGCAGCTGTAGGTTGCAAGCAAAATCACGTTTTTTTCAGAGTGGTATCCGGTCTGCCACGCGAAAGTCATGCCAGGGCTTCGAGAGAAAGGCTTCGAGGATACCTGCGTTCTGAGGCCACGGCAGATGCAGGTGCTTCTGCCAATTCCACTTTGATGGCCACTCGCCGCCCGGCGGCACAGGACAGTTTGAGCCTTGTTGGCATTGAGCTCGCGGCTTTCGAGTTCAAACGGCGCTTTGAGAGAGCTTGGGGCTTTCGTTGTTTTCCTTAGATGCTTTGGGTGATTTCTACATGCACTGGCATAGCATGCAAGATGTAAAATCATCAAAGCCCTGATCATCCTCCACCCGCACAACGTCATCCAGAATGAAATAGAAGCTGGGCTGGAACTGCCAGGTGTGCCACATGCACTTTATTTGCCAGACTTGATGCAACTGGTGCCGTGGGCACAGGCTCAGACGTTATCAAGACCCGAACCCTTTCTCCCGAATGAGCAGCTTACAACGAGTTCATCCGCGACCAGTTCCAGCTTCGTAGCCAGTCCCAAAGATCCATGAGCCTTGGTCAAACGCCCTTACGCAATCCTTGAGGGGTTGCAGTCTGTTAAAGAGCGTTTTTGCTGTGGAAGGGCATGTGTCGGTACCTTCATCATGGGTTACCTGTGAGAAGCAGATCCGGGTTGGGTGCTGTCGCTTTGGAGGAGGGATTCCCTTCACTTACCTTGGTGCCAGCTGTCAGACTGCACATTCGGCGCCATCGTGGGCAGGTGCTAGTATCATGCTTCCTGTGCGCGCATGTCAGGGGGATCTCCAGGCGCACATCTTCCCTGGAAAGCACTCCGTTATCAAAAACCACTTCACCTGGTTGCTTTTCAAAATGCCTGTGCAAGTCGCCTCAGTTGGGAAAAAGTTCCTGATTTCTGGACATGTTGAACTGGACGTCTAACTCAGCAAACCCCACACGAAACCTGCCATTTTAGTCATCTACGGTAACGATGCACAGGGCTGAGACCCCGGCCCATTTGCAGAAGGGCCGCGCCCATCGAGAGTTCAGGAAAACTCCAAAGGTTTCCCAGTTCCTGGTGCAGTCATTCCGTTGCAGCTTGGGCAAATGCGTTTCTGGCCTTTGTGACGACTGCGTGGAAACCGCAAGCACGAAGCCACGACCCCCAAAAAGGGAGCCGTGCTTGCTGACCACAGAAGCATTGAACCCAACACGTTCCAGACCGTGCAGCGAAAGCAAGTCCATCATGAGGACTATGGCGAAGCCATGTTGGGGAGTGACAGGATGTCATGTGTCACATAAAGATACACAAGGCATGCTCGTTTCAGGTAGGTTTGCAGGGGTCGGTCGCTCTGAGGATTCGTTGGGGATCTGGCAAGACGGCTTGGTGATCTGACTACAAGTGCCGTGTTTTTGGAGAACCACCATGAGAAGGTCCTAATTCTACCCCAGCTGCTAACACAACCGATCCTTGCCTTGAGTTCGAGCGGTCTACTCCTACATCCTGCACACTGCACCCCCCAAAACTCCGGACACTTGAATCTCGCAGCTTGCCTCAGCCCATGGTAGCCAGAAGATAGCAGATCCCTGCAATTGTGTGCCACATTGAGCCCCGACATTCTTCATTTTTGGTGGTTCATTTGTATGGTGGCTCAGTCCAGCAACAGCCTTCTCCTTTCAACAATTCAGGATGTCTGGGGCTGGGACTTTTCTTGTGGTGCAGGGGTCCGCTTTTTGGGATGTAGGGCTGGTCCTTTCTGTCTTCGGCTGGTTCTCAGGGCAGACTGGTAGGACCGGCAGGGCCTTCCCAGCAACGGCGCCCGCCAGCCTCAGGACTGCGATGTGGTTGAACTTCTGAATTGGATTTCTGAATGCTCATTCTGGTAGCCGCGGCCAGCTATGCACCATTGGAGCCGTGCTATTGTGGCATACCACACAACAGCCATGAACTTACATCATGACTTGCAAGGCTGTAAGGCCTTGCCGAGAAGCTTGCAACTGCAAACGGCGATTGCACGACTGCGGGCATCTTTCAGTTAAGCTCCGGACCATGCGACACGCAAGTCTCGTGGCCTTGGTCCTGGGACTGGGGATGCTGGCACGAAGCTCGGGACCCAGTCTGCTCTTGCACTCGGCGACATTGCTAAGACATCGTGCCCACGCTTCAGACTCCGTCCTAACACCCGAGTATAGGTAGTCATATCCAAGGCGGACGAGTCCGCGTGTCCAAGGTGCACACGACATTTTGCGAGCCCACGGCACGCACAGGGTCCCGTTGAGTACGCGCGGGCAAGCGTTTTCGAGCCCGTTCCGGTTTCTCACAGGCCTTTTTTTTAAACAACCCTGTGCACCTTGTCTAGTGCAGGCCACTGGCCAGGGTAGCCAACTTTCCGGGACTTCAGGAGGGTTTTGGAATTAGGGTTTTGAAGGTTTAGGGTTTTGAGGGTTTAGGGGTTTTTAGGGAAGACCTCCCGCTAGACCGTAGCCCTTGGAAGCCTTCAGAGGCAACGCAAGTCCATATCGTGGATGCCCAAAACCCTGCACCCAGTCACCGTGCGCACTGTCGACCCAATCACAGCATGCACCTTGGACCTGGCGCCCAACACCCCCCACACAATGAAAGGCATGAGCCTCAACTTCGACTGTCGAGCATGCAAGGTTTGGCCGTCAGTGGGGTTAAGAGCTTCAACGTTAACGAAGGGGCCAATGAAGGCATGAAGGGGGCTGACCCGGTCTTTGCCAGCCATGGATCGAGAAGAAGTCGGCAAGAGAACCACAGGCACAACCTGTCAACGCAGTCGCAAGAGCTCCAAGCTTCTGGTCACACCCCAGAAATGTTCCCTCCAGATCGGAACCTGTAGAGCCCTATCCATCGCAAGCAAACCAGATCTTAACGGAGCAGCCTGGGTACAGGATGCCACATAGCTTTGGCTACGCTTCCTGTAGCGACTTGCTAGCAATGTGCGGAAGCAAAGGCCTCAGCACGAAGAAGGCGAAGGGACACTCTGCTTCCAGGTCATCGTCAATGTATTGCTGAAATGCGCTGACGTAGTTGACCCAAATCCTGGTCTGCACGTCAGGAAAGCAGCTGTGTCATTCTGCAAACCTCTTCTGTAGGATGTGGTAGGATGTGGATGATCACTGGAAGATTTGAAGATGGGACGAAGAAAGACACTCTGCTCAATTTTCCTGCCGAGTCTCGCGTCATCCTCTTCGGGCGCTCCAGGACCAGATGCCCTTGCTCAGAGCTCAAAGAAGGTGGGAACCCGACCTCCCCTGAAGCCCCCTGACCCCGAAATTTGAACTTGGGAACTTCATCAGCCGGAGTCAAACTGGCAGAGTCTAACTTGGTCCCTGGAAAAATCAGGCGTTTCGGGTTAGGGATGTTCAGGGTTTAGGGATGTTTAGGGCGCCCAGTCCTGGGCGATCCAGTCAGCAGGTAAAATGCCAGCGTCTCTGTCCAGGACGCGAGAAGAACCTGGAGACGCATCCGGGCTTACTGGCGCCAGCAAGATGATGCCAAAGAGTTCGTGTTTTCGTGGCAACAACTTCTTGCTTGTTGGTTCCCCAATCATCATTCCGTTCCTGAACGCGCTGCCGCCGAGTACATCAGTTGGTGAGTTCGTGTATGATGCACCGTTGCCTGCCCCGAGCAAAAGCCCTGCCCGATCGCGTGACTTTTCCAGGTTGACACGCTTCAACGATTTGGCAGCAACTGCCAACAACAGAAGCTAAGCTGACCGTAAGCAGACCTGCGCCATGCACAGGGGAATGCCATGCATGTATGGTGCTCTCGGGTCCACAGTGCAGGTCATGCTCTTTGTACACGTACCCAGCATGAGCCAACCATACCGACGAACATGCGTGTTGCAGGATCACACACTGTCTGTCAACGAAGACGTCGCTGTACTACTGCGCAGCGCATTAGATCACTTCAAGACTGGTGTCCCAAACCCAATTCCTATCCAGCATGTGTCGCCAGGAAACCTCGGGATCGGGTTCCAGAGTGCCACGGCAGTCGTAGTTTGGGAGCAGAATGTCCGGACGAAAGGCCCTGAGATCACTTGTTACATCATTCACGGACGAAGATTTGGGGCTTTAAGGACTCCACTCTTTAGTGCCTAGAGGCTTAGAAAATCAAGGGAACAAGGTTCAGGAATAAATTAATGCCTTGCTACGTCTCTTAAGGATTTAAGGACCCCACTCTTTCGGGCTTCGGGAACCGGACTAAGGGCACAAGAGTTTAGGGATAAGGATGAAGGGAATAGGATTTGGCCTTTGGGCGCAACTGCAGATATACTACCCCCCCCCCCTCCAAAAAAAATAAAAACAAATAAACACTCTTCCATGTCGCGTTTGGGTGGTGACATACCATACTGATATAGTATTGAAATCATACTTTGCACCAGGCCGGGCTCACTATTGGAAATCTTTCTGTGACTTTTCAAAAAGGACCGTCCTGGGCGCCTGTCTCAGAAGGATGCGCTTCTTGTCTGATATGCGCGTGCGTGTGCCTTACAAACACCTTTAAAAAAAAACAGGCGCCACAGGTGGCCTGCTCTCGGTATGGCAATATATTGTATTCTACTGTATTAGATTATGTTTTTAACTAACATGCTAGT